ATGGGGCTTTCAAGATGTTGGCAGTTGTCTCTCTCTCTCCCTAACAAAGAATTTCAAAGAACAGTTCCATCCTCAAACGTCGATTATTGTTGATCAGATAATTTTGATTACATAGTTTAGTTATCCCTATCACTACTGACGATAAAAAGTCTAGGCTTGAAATAAACTTTAATTTTCTGAAATGTAAAGGAAGAAAATAATACAGTCACACAAAGGTAACAATACAAAAGCAACTGTCATTCAAGAAAGGATAAAAACGTGCTGAACAATGTTGGGGTGTATAACAAAATGGTCAATGAATAACATCTACATACATATAAGAAGATAGAATACAACACTCATAGAAGATCAAGATCACGTGATGAGAGTTTACATTGAGATAAACAATAATCACATGATAATGATAATCAAGATAGACAAGATTAGGTCATATTCATTGGTGGGCTGTCATGAATTTTGCGTCTATCACAATTAACAGTTGTTACACTCTATTATTACATTGTAGAAAAGGATAACAAGGGTGCATCCAACTTTTTTCCATTAAATTGTTCAATCGAGTAAACACTTCATTTTAAGATCAGTAATGTTAGTGATAGATGTACTGAGTATTTGTTTTATCTTCCGATGCAGTTATTAGGAATCATTTAATCAAGAACACATTTTTTTATGAAACAGACTTTGGGGTACGCTTGTTATGTGAGATCGGATTTACCTACTCATATGCGTCGGTGGTTCAGTGGAAGGATGCCAGTACACCGCACACGTGGAGTCTGGGTGCGATCTACGGCCAACCCACTCCTAAACTTCGTTTAAGCCGGAAAAGAGGGAAGGTTGAGTGTGAGACTAGCAACTCCACACGTCGTAAAACGAAATGTTACAGAAACTTCAAAACTCAAGCGTGAGGCCGTATGTTCAACTCTGAAGGAGGAATGAATGACGCTACTATCTAGTTACCGAGGGTGAATTGAATCGATGGAGATTCAAAAGCGGGATACCCGTTGGCCAGAAGCCGAATGGTAAGGCTAAAGAACCACATCTGCACCTTCTGATATAAGTTCAGTAGGTATTCATGAGTCTAGTCAACCATCTGTGGGTCACTTCTGTTGAGAAATCCTCTTCTAATATATATATATATCGCTCATTCAGTGATTAACCAACCTACTATGCAGACACTACGATAACAGTATTTCAGCACTCATTACTTGTAGTCATTGTATATTAAAATAGAATTAGTCTCGTAGCAGTTGATTAACAGTACTAAATAATCTATACAACTGCATTCACAAGCGATGTAAAATTGTTCATCAATATAGGACCACCGTTGGTTGGACGGAGGGCACCGTCGTCACTTTTGTTTGAATATCCCTCGTAGACACTTAACTTCTCACCAGAAGGGCCTCGGGGTTCGAATTCTGCTCCGCCTATCGATGTTTGGTGTGCAGAAAGGTGATGGCATTCGCTATCCCACACAAGCACACTAGGTGTGGCTTGTAATCAACCAACTCTGTATGAAATTTCAAATGACTGTTGAATAACACATTTCTGTTTTTATTTTATTTCTACTTAATAGTAAGGAAGTAATCTTGTACATTTTGAAGAAAATAGTCAAGAATACAGACCGATTAGCTCATTTCATCATGGAATATTAGATTCCGTGTTGTAGGTTCAATGGTAGAATGCTCATCAGTCACATATGTGATACAGACGGGTAGATTCTCGGGTGACACACTACTACTGAATCTCGCTTAGTTTACTAACCGTTACTAGGTCTGGGAAAGAGGGAAAGTTTAGCGTCAGGTTAACAACCCCAGACATAAAAATAACCCACAATGCCACTACCAATAATAAAACTATGTTCTATGTCCCAAACGGAAATCAAAGGAATCAAGAAAGAAGTGAGATGCTGTAAATCAATCAAATCAAGAGTGAGTAACCAGCCTAATATATAGACACTACGACAGCGGTATTCCAGCAGTTATTACTTGTAGTCTCAAAGCACTAAAACAACAGAAGTGAGACTGTATAAATCAACCGAACCAAGGTTTTTTTTCACTGACTGACTGTGTTTCAGCATAGAAATTCGCACAGAAGTGCACCAGTTCAAGTTGCTACATTCTATTGTAGCTCACTTAAAGGTAAAGAAGAGAAAATCCAGAAGAACTATGCTGGGTAGAAATGTACAGGAGGAAGAATAAATATATGGAGAATAATGCGGATTTCATGGATTTGGTAGTCCATAAAGAGTGAATGCATCGAAGACATTGAAAAGCATTTTAGGGAGTATTACAAGAAGTCTCTAGACAGTCTGCACTTCTCTAAGTGGCCAAAACCAACAATTAAAAGCTATATGGGTTGATGATATGTTTTAATTTGACCGCCACTAAACCTTCCCCAACCTGATCTTATATTACCTAATATTTGTCAACCAGGAGAAGCCAATGACTCGATATGCATATAACACACACATATGGCCAAAATGGCTGAATCCCCAACGAGCTCGGTCTGGAAACATGAAGGTCCCGAGGGTTCGATCGCTCGCGGCGTTCTGGGTGCACGCACTGATTATTATTCCCTTGCGTTCCGAGTGGAACATCTCCACTTTCTTCTGTTTTCTGCCATCCTCTTCAGCTGCATCCACGATTGACCAAACTTTCTCATCTCTTCCTCACACGGTCTCCTCTATATCACCCTCTCACTGATGATCCACTCATCGCCACTTATTTGGATTCCACTCGAGCAGTGGCCTGGCGCGCGATTTCATTCGGCGGCCTCCTCAATGTATGCCCGATGCATCTCTACTTTCTCCTACATATATGTTGAGCAATCGGCTTTCACTTGTTAGTCTGTTGCCATAGTTTCTTGTTGCTTATTCTTTCTGGCCATTTGATCTTCAGTATGGAGCGAAGGCAGCTGTTGATGAAAGTCTGCAACCTGCTGGAAATCCTTTTCGTGACATGCCAAGTTTCTGACACGTATAGAAGAACCAACTTCACGCAGTGATGAAGAGTCCCAATTATAGGGCGAAAACACTGTCTAGTGCTCCAATGTTCTTCCTAACAGGCATATTGATTCAATCCGAATCCCCACAAATTCCATAATCTAATATATATATATATATATATAATTTGATCCTTTAATACTCTCAACCAGCTCTTTTATTGATCTGGTTGACGTGAAAGTGAAGTCATATGACTTAAGCGGTTTAAATGTACTTTCCAACATTATTAAAAATAATTAATTAATTAACGAGTGTTTGTGTAATTATATCAGGAAGTTGAATAAGCTTAATGTATCAATATCTGTATTGATGAATTTATTAAGAGAATTTTAAAAACAGTATCTCGAGACATATATAAATCATGTTTAATAATGTACTTGAATAATTATGACTGAATTTATTGATCCTTTGTCTGGACAACATCTTCTACACAAACTTCAATGCAACTTATTTTTAGACAGGAGAAGCATCACTTCACCATTCAGTATTACTCAGGTTTTGATTTGACCAATTCTAATTCTTTTCCAACCTAATTCTATGTCAGATAACATAAAGGCTATAAAGTTACATAGATTGAGATGGCTAGGTCACATGCTGCGCATGCCTAACCATCGCCTCCCCCGATGGGCATTACTAGCTGACATAGGTGGTGCAGGTTGGAAAAGGGTAAATGGTGGTCAAACAAAAACATGTCATCAATCCATGAAATCCTTGACAGTTAAACTGATTCAGGTAGGGAGATGCAGACTTCCGGGTTGGGGCCCTCGGGACTCTAAGAATCAATGGCTGGAGACAGTAAGTGACATGGCTCAAAATCGTTGTCAATGGCGCAGAAGTATTCAGTCTCTGTAATCTTTCATATTCCTTTCTATCATTACCCATTCTGTTTCACTCTTATACTTGTCAAACTCTATTGATTCTCTTCACTCATCTTCTTGTCTACTTTTGTGTGCTATTTGGAACGTGGCAACTTGAACTGCTGCACTTCGGTGCCAAGTTCTATGTTGCATCCAGACCAGACAGGGACAAACAACATTGGTTGTCGAGGGGGACGATGGCTTCACATGTGTAACATATATCCAATCCACCTCAATCGATATAACTTCAAAAACTCATACACTGACTTTCCTCCCATTTAAATGGAAGTTTACGGCTAACCTTAAAATTGTTCAGTACATTATACACTGCCTAACAGATGAGATAGAATTAAAACGTCTGTGGTCAAAGACGACTAGTCTTTTATACAACAAAATAAAGTTCGAGTAAAGAATATTCTTTCCGATAAATTCCTCATCCTGCTCTACAATTATATATATATATATATATAGCTATCCGAGTTGTTCAAGGTGAAGTGGTATTCGAATCTCCTACATCTACTGGTTGAATAGATGACTTTTAACCATTTACAGGTTTGACCAAAAACTGAGTAGATTCAGTTGGAGAATCGTTGGAAAAGCAAGGTGTACTGAAAAGCTGTTTCGTCTCAGTTTGGGACTCTTCGTCGGTACGCGCACACCAAGGTTCGAACTCAGGGTATTCCGGTTAGAAGACGTTCTAGTAGACCATTCAACCACAGGGACCCGAACTAATGGCCCATGAATTCTGAATTCTTTCAATTCACGGTATATAGTGCAACTGACAACTAATGTCACAGGTGAGTAACTGCTGTCTTACCAGACTTGGTGGAAACCGCTGGTCACAACCTCTCACTAGAGCCCCGAGTAATCTACTGTATAAAATCAGTTGCCAGTGAGCATCAAATTAGTTCCCGAGTGTTGGCTTGCAGAGGTTTGATTGGTTACCTGTTTGATTATTTACACCAATCAGCTGCAGTTATATGTGACACATAAATCCATATACTTATACTACCTCAATATTAAGTAGTTAAGAAAGACATCGATGCGTGATTATGGAATACATCGGCAATAACATATATGAGCAATGGATACAAAAAAAAAGAATTATTTTCTCAAACCAAAAACAAAAGAGGAAAATAAATTACCTTTCCATAACTACCACGTCCAATAGTAGAGCCAAGTAAGAAGCGATTAGCTAATATTTTTGGTGGTTTACTTCTGTGTATATATGAAATACACAACTGACTACTTAAATCCGTTGGATTGTATTCAGTGACGACACCGCGTGGCGATGAACCACACTTGATTGCATTATCATTTGTTGAACGACCCAGCTTTAAAATGATAACAATAATAATATAAGTAGAAGAAGATACTTTAATATGATTATATTATTAAAAATTAGCCCAATAAACAAACTGGTAAAGCAAAAGATGGGTAGACTGAAATCTTCCTCTCGGCTCTTTTTAGAGATGGTGGCGAGACTCTCACAATGGCTCTAACTGGGTTGTTCAGAAAGGTATGGGAGACAGAGAGTGTACCATCAATGTGGAACAAAGCCATTATCGTCCTCATCTTTAAAAAGGGTCGACATAATTCGTGTGACAATCATAGGGGTATCAGTCTGCTACCAGTCGCGTCTAAAATATTGGCTGCTGTCTTGCTTCGCAGACTGTGCAAAATACGTGAGGGATTGATTCGCGAAGAGCAGGCTGGGTTTCGTTCAAGTCGTAGATGCATTGATCATGTGTTCACCCTTCGTCAGTTGTTGGAACACCTCCACACGTATTGCAGGCCAACGATCTTTGTATTTCTTGATATTAGGGCTGCCTTCGATTCGTTGGACAGAACTGTGCTCTGGAACTGTCTGTTAGAGAGAGGTGTACCTGAGAAATTTGTTAACATCTTGAAAGCCCTATACCGAAACACCTCAGGTAGAGTGAGGGCATACAACCAACTATCATCACTGTTCCCAACCAACAGTGGGGTTAGACAGGGTTGCCCAATCTCTCTATTTCTCCTTAACTTTGCCATCGATGACATTCTGGAGTCAGCTCTGAAGGATGTGCGTGAAGGTGGTGTAGATCTGCTACCTGGAGATAGACTTTTCGACCTCGAGTATGCAGACGATATCGTCTTACTGTGCGATAGCATGCAGGCTGCCCAAATGGCACTTAATCAGTTGGCGATCAGTGTCTGTAAGTATGGTATGTGCTTTGCGCCGCCTAAGTGCAAAGTAGTTACAAGATTGGCAGGAGCATGTACCTGCACTCACTCTTGCGGGTGAACCGCCTGAAATTGTTGATAAGTTTGTGTACCTGGGTAGTTGTGTGAGTGCTGGCGGAAGGGTAACGGATGAGATTTCCAACCGTATAGTGAAGGCTAGGGTGGCATACACCAACTTGAGCCACCTATAGCGCCGTCGCGATGTTGGCCTGGCTGTCAAAGGTCGGGTATACAATGCTTCGGTGCGGGCTGTCTTGCTCTAAGCCTGTGAAGCCTGGCCTCTCCAAGCTGAGGATGTGCGATGACTCTGCGTGTTCGATCATCGCTGTCTCCGCAGGATTCCTTGCGTTCGATGGCATCATTGCGTGAGTAATTCTGAGGTTCGGCGGCGTGTGTTTGAACACAACGGAGATCACCATTTGTTGAGTGTCGTCATCTGGAAACACCGGCTCCGGTGGCTTGGACATGTGCTGCGAATGTCATCCCAGAGGCTTCCGTACAGGTCTCTTCGCTAGCCAGCCCTGGGACGGGATGGAAAAGGTGGAGGGGTGGTCAGTCCATGACGTGGCGTCGTGGGATGAAGGATTTTTGTGCTAGATTAGCATCGGTTGATGTGTCACGACTGCCTGGTTGGGGTCTGAGAGATAGCTCAAATCGATGGCTCGAAACATTATCGGATATGGCCAAGAATCGTAATCAATGGCGAACGTGTTGCAATTTCCTTCTTTCTTCCCTTCCCGATGATAGTTAACGAATACTGTTTGAACTTGTTAAGCACGACTGTTTTCCTTCCAGATGAAGTTCTTTATCTGTTCTCTACTTATATATGTTTTTTTTCTTTCGTTTCTTTTTTTCTTTTGATCTATATTGTTTTATTATTATTGTGTGGCGCGTCCTTCTTGGTGCCATATTGTACCAAATTTTTATGCGTTTAAAATAAAATAAAATAAATAAATGAAATCCCCTCGAAATGTTGTCATGTGACCACGCATCCATAGCCTCTGCTACTTAAGTCTTATTCTTTGCCTTCACCAGGTGTGAGAGGGTGAATGAGAACGTCTGGTGCTTACAAGCGAACTGGTGGACATGTTGATCTATCCAGGGGAGAGACAGTTGGACAGTTGTTTTGTCTTAGTCTCAAACCTGAAGACTGACCGATTGGTTTCAACAGAGAACTTTGTACAGAAGTACAACAGTTTAGTTTGCCACACAACAGATTAAAAAGAACCATAATAAGCAGATACGTGAAGAAGACGGAATGGTAACATGAAGAAATAGGGTTTAATAGATTTGGCAGATCACAAAGAGTGAATTCATCTACGCCACTGAGGAAGATTTCGAGCCATATCACCGAGCACCCCAACCACAAAGCGCCTACACCTCCCTACATGGCTCAGACAAACTGTTAAGGATTAAAAGGACTGATGCTAGGTTTTGATTGGACCACCACTAGCCCTTTTCCAACCTGATCCTATATCAGCTAACATTTCTCAACGAGGAAGGTGACAGCTCGGCATGCACAACACGTGTCGTGGTCATCTCAATCGGTTCATTTTGAAGAATAAATATGACTAGGAAGAAATGAAAAAGAGCAGATTACTAGATAGGATTTCCTAAATATGTGTATGTACATGGATGGTGAGAGAAATATACTTAAATTGATTGTTAGACGACTATATCGATATTTATTTCGGATAAACAGACAGATTTACCGACTACATAAGGAAAAACGAAAAGAACACCGTGCAATAAAAAAGTAAAAAGGCAGTAGGTTAAGGAGTCGCAGAGAAGGTAAAGAAGGTGGAAGACTTGGAGATGTTGGCTGTCTTTGATCATAAGTGTTCGCAACTCATCTCCCATGTTAAATGGTGTAATATGGTGAGAACTCTGTTTGAAGGCGATGACTAGGCGTGTGTAACACTTATCCTAGCCACCTCAATGGATTCACCCACACAATCTCATCCATTGACTTTCGCTCTTTATCTAACGCTCACCACTCACCTTATTATACCACCACATCATACCGGAGATAGAACACAGGTACCTAAGATCAAAGACAGCTAACCTTCTCGTTTCTTCCACTTTCAATGGCCATGGTTCACAGACATAAAGGAAGATGGAGCCAACAGTTGAGCAGTACTTTCGTCCTTTGGTTGATATCCAGATATGATGTCTATGCCGGAGATGGAGTAAGTTGGCAAATTTCACAAGTCTTTTGTATCCACTCTGAGACTTTGTCAGCGATCAACCTGCTGGCGTCGGCTGATGAAACTTCCCAAATAAGTAAAGTGGTGAACACGCTCCACCACTTCACTCTGCTATCTTTAAACTAGGAGTGAGTCAATGTAGTTCAGTTCTGTAGCCTCATTACCTCACATTTGACAAGAGTGAACCGTATACCGAACATTCGAAGAGTGATGCTCCTCAGGGTGTTCAGAAGACTTTGCATTTTGTCAGCGTCTTCACCTAGAAGGAATATATCATCTGCATATTCTAAGTCAACGAGATTATTTCCTGGTAACAATTCAATCACTGAGTCACTGAAGTCAATTAGGCTAAATTCCATTAGTACATCATTGATGAATTTAATCATTAGTTTAGATGACAGCTCTCCATAAGCTTACACAGCTGCTTGAGTTCGAGTTTAGTCGATTGATCAGTGCGATGTATTTTTTCAGCATTCTCTTCACCGCCAAACATTGCCATAATACCTCTCGATCGACGGAGTTAAATTCCGCCTTCAGGTTAAAAAATACGGCAGTCGTTGGACGCCAGTAAGTATGCCATTGTTTCAGTATCCATCGAAGGGTATCTAAAATCTGCCTGCTTCTCTAGCGTTTCTTCCTTCCGAGAGCCGCCTAATCTACACATGATTATTCAGTCTATAACTTTAGATACCATATTAGTAGTCAAGCTTACCAACCTGTGATTATTACAAGAACACTTGTCTCACTTCTTATAAATTGGGATAATCAGTGACTTACACCAATCTAACGGGACTATCTCTGATTCCCAGACGTTGCCTAATGCCTTACTTATCCTGGACAGCAATACATCATCATCAAAACTAAACACCTCTGCAGTAATTCCATTAGGTCCTGCTGTTTTCTTTCGTTCCAAGCTAGAGACAGCCTTCGCAACCTCAGTCACGTACGGAGGACCGATTTATACATCCCATCCAGGTAGGTGTTGGATTCCGGGCAAGTGCGTACCTGCAGGCCAGTGAAATTTCTCATTAAAATGTTCCTTTCAGCGTTCAATTCGTCTATCCTGGGAGCAAATCAGGGCGAGAATGTTTTCGGAGATTGTCTCACTAATCATTTGCTTTTTGCCACCTGTTTGCTCGATAGGCCTACGTACAACCTGAAGGCTGTTTCCAACGGTAGGTGGAACCATAAGTGCAGTATTGAAAAGTACTGTGACTTTTGCTCTCCTATAATGCAGCTTTGCATCAAAATCGAAACCAAAACTACAGTCAAAATTTCCTAGTTTATATCGGTTACCAAAAATTAATTTTTGTCCCAATGCTTGTGATCATCTGAATGGAAATTTCGGAATCTGAAATTAATTATTTTATTTCTTTGATTAATCAAACTACAACCTTCTGATAGTATGAAGTGTCAAAGGAAGACTAGTTTACCATTTCACATATTGCCACACGCAAAAAACAACCAAAAATTAACACAGCCTACTAGAAAAGAGTGGATTGACTAACTCACTAGACTTCAAAATGAAACAAGACAGAAAAAAGAATATTCTTACTATGAATAAATATAATTGTGAGGGGAGGGAATAATTAAATAGAGGTCAATGAAAATATTGAAAATATTCAGCAGTCTATCTGAATGAGATCAAAAGTCAAAAAAGTTCGTGGATTAATGCCATATCTCGATCTGGCCATCCTTAATTTTATTTCCAATCCTTAATTCAGGCAAAGAACTATTCATTACACGAACATGGTGAGGATTTCTGCGATACTTATGAGTGCTATAAAAAATTCATAGTAAAAACATCATTTTTTTAAACAGTCATATAGTACTATCCACTTAGTGAGAACGTTTCAACCTTCCGAGCATCCAACACCTCCCTGAATGGGATATAGATACAGGTCCTCCGTCACTAACTGAGGTTACTAAAGCTGTCACCAATCTGAAACTAGGCAAAGCAGCGGGACCTGATGGAATGACGCCAGAGGTATTTAAGTACGGTGGAGACAGCTTACTGTCCGGATTAACTGAGGTACTAGGCAGCGTTTGGGAATCAGAAGAAGTCCCATCGGATTGGTGTAAGTCACTGATTATCCCCATATACAAGAAGGGAGACAAGTCTTCCTGCGATAATCACAGAGGGATTAGCTTGACTAATATAGTATCTAAAGTCTTAGGCTCAATAATCATGCGTAGACTGAGTGGTGCTCGGGAAGCACAAACACGAGAGAGCCAGGCAGGCTTTAGACCAGGAAGAGGGTGTATTGATCATATCTTCACCCTCCGACAGATTCTAGAACATAGGCATTCCTACCGGCGTCCAACAGTCATTATATTTCTTGACCTAAAGGCAGCATTCGACTCTGTCGATCGGGAAGTTCTCTGGAGATGCTTGGCTGTAAAGGGAATTCCAAGAAAATATATTGCACTGATTAAGGCACTCTATTCGTACTCATACAGCCAGGTGAGGGCTTACGGCGAGCTGTCATCTGAACTGATGACGACCAGTGGTGTCCGTCAAGGATGCCCATCATCTCCTTTTCTATTCAACTTCATCATAGATGTGTTAATGGACTTAACCCTAAGTGACTTCAGCGATTCAGGGATTGACTTGCTACCTGGGAATAATCTCGTTGACTTGGAATATGCAGACGATATAGTCCTTCTAGGCGAAGACGCTGACAAAATGCAGAGTCTTCTAAACACCTTGAACAGCAATCTACGAATGTTTGGCATGCGATTCGCTCCCGCCAAATGCAAGATGATGTTACAGGACTGGACTACATCGACGCCTAGTTTAAAAATAGGAAGTGAAGTGGTAGAGCACGTTGACCGCTTCACTTATTTCGGAAGTACCATCAGCCCCAACGGGCTGATCTCTGACGAAATCTCAGCACGAATACAAGGGGCTCGTTTCGCATTTGTTAGTTTACGCCGACTCTGGCGTAGACGAGATGTTCGACTATCGACCAAAGGGCGGGTGTACTGCTCATCAGTCCGCTCCGTCCTCATTTATGGTTGTGAGACCTGGCCACTGAGAGTGGAAGACATGAAAAGACTAGCTGTCTTTGATCATAGGTGCCTGCGTTCTATTTCCCGTGTAAAGTGGCATAATAAGGTGAGCAACATGGAGGTTAGGCGTAGAGTTCTAGGTAAACAGGGGAAATCAATCGACGAAGTCGTGAAGCTACATCGACTGAGATGGTTAGGACATGTGTTACGTATGCCAAGTCATCGCCTCCCTCGACGAGCTATGTTAGCGGATATAGGGTCAGACTGGAAAAAAGCTAGCGGTGGTCAAACAAAAACTTGGCATCAGTCAATGAAATCCACAACAGTTGGTCTTAGCCACGTAGGAAGGTGTAGACTTCCAGGCTGGGGTCCTCGGGACGGTAAAAATCTATGGTTGGAAACAATTGGTGACATGGCTCAAAATCGTTCTCAGTGGCGCAGATGCATCCACTCCTTGTAACTTATGATCTCCAATGGAACTGTTTTGTATTGCTTTATTACTCCTTTGTCTCACACCTCTGTTTACTGTCTCTATTATGCTTTTCTTGTACTTTCTTCTCTTGCTTCGCGTGCTACACGGAGTGTGGCGACTTGAACTTCCGCACATTTGTGCAAAGTTCTATGTCGAAAACAGACAGACAGACGTTTCAAAAATACTTTATTGCTTATCATTATAATATTGTGATGCCTATAAAACTTTGGGATTCCGGTGTAGTTTCAGCATATTTCTCAACCTTTTTCTCTGTCGGTAATACTTTTTGATCCCTTCAGTGTCGATTGTTTGAGAGAGGATTCAGTGATCACCTTTCTGTCCGCCTTCTAGCATTCACAATTGTAGCTACGCTCTACCTTATTATGGATCTGCTTATTTTAACACCATTATTTTAGCCTTTGACATCTTATGCATGCTTATTTTCACCTGTTGCTACTATCTTTTCATTTATTTGTGGAACTTGACTAACTGAGTTATATGCTATAGATGAGATGCTTCCACTGACGTAGAAACAAAGACAACCAAGAAAAGAAGTACGCTTAAGAGGAAAATCTGGCCTTATTTAGTAAGTTCCGTTTAATTTCACTGGTGTTAAGTGATATGGGAACATTGATATAAAGTCGACACCTGGGGACATGATTAATTCTAATAAACACAGTGAACAGTAATATTAAGAAAATAAAGCAAATAATTCGCTTAAAAGAAAAACCGATGAATCAAAATACTTTTAATCAACTAATGAGTCATTAATTGATAAACACAAAATGACTAAAAAGCCAGTACAATTAGCACATATCCATTTATTTGTGCCAGCTTGAGAAGTTACCAGACCGAATACTTTTTTTATTTCTATTAGAATGTTTGAGTACTTTTCTATACCATTAATTTGGAACAAGACATATAAGCGAACAATATTGTTTTCAATTAGATCTTCTTCAGGCTTTACTCTACATATATGCATATACTAACTTTGTTATTCTTATCACCTATATAAGCCTTATTAACAATATTTTGTTATTATTATAATCATCGTTATTAACTTCGTTCAAAACATTTACCACATTATTATTACTATCATTATTATTTGTATTATTATGATTACTATTATTATTTGATCCACTAAATCACCGTCATTGGTTAAAATTTTATATATATAAGTCTATGTAAATTAGAGTAAAGCCTGAAGAAGATCTAATTGAAAACAATATTGTTCGCTTATATGTCTTGTTCTAACATTAATTTGGAGTTGATTTAACAACCTTCATCAGTCAGTTACCAGTCACAGACACATCTTGCACACATTGTCGGATAAAAACAGAATATGTAAAGCTCTCCATATAAAATGGAGGATAATCAGTAATATTTCGAAGCATTTGTTCGTATTTTTACTATTATTTTGGTTATACATCAGTGATAGATATCTGAACAGGAAACTACCAAAAAGGTTGCATACAATTAAGTCAGTGGAAAAATGATTCATTTAGCGGACATGTCGTGAAAAATATTCATGAATGCACCATACGAAAAATATTAGTAACAATTTTGAATTATTTTATGCATAAAACGCGGATGTATTGCTTTGAAATATTTTTAACAAATTTATTCTAATTCTTGGGTTCTTTTTGTATCTACACACATTCAAATGTTAAGTAATGACACCGAATTAATTAAAACTAGTGAAAGGATAGAAAAAACTACTTGAAAACGTATTCAGGGCACCAATAGCAGAGAACATATACACCAAAAATTTAGGATGTTTCAATGAGGTTAAGTAAACAAGCGATTATGCGGTGAAAAATTTACCTGAGATTCGTCTCCATAACATGATTTGAAATCAGCATTTTGACTGATGAGCATACGATAACGCTCGAGGATTTTCAGATCATCATCGGAATTATCACCATAAAATGCTTGCATGGGACTTAGCTCATCATGAAAACAAGGGTTGGTTTCCTCCGCCTCGCACATTTGTTCTTGTAATCTACAATCATTCTCTAAAGTATTTGCAAGGCTATCATCATTGGGATCTGAAGACTGCAATGAGAGCGGCTCGGCCATCTCTTCAAAAAAATTTGCAAAAACTCCTGTTCCACCAGCAAGGTTCTGGCGAGACCTGGTCCCAACATTCTTTTCTCCGACAGTTGTTCCGGATGCAGATATATCACAAAATGTGTTTTTCAGCTCATGTGTCATACGATCGTCTATTCTTAACATTTACTTAAACTACAGTTCAATTCACTGATGGTAATTCCCACATATATTTCTCTAGTCATAAAGCGTTGTTTAAACTAGGGGTTTTGGTACCATTAATAAACGTAAAGTGAAGCGTCAGTTAGGAGAATGTTGTATACTCACACTTTTCTGAGTACCGTAGCGGGCCTACTAAAAAGCGCGGTTAAAGATTTCAGATTTGTTGATTCAAATATCCGATATCCAATATCGTTTTTACGAGCTAGTATAAACCAGTTTGATTTCTTTGTGCTCGCTTCTTGATTGTAAGGTATAGGTTCCTGATCTTTGGTAAACTTCTGAGTAGCTTGTCCCGCCACTCGACTGTCATAGCTTTGGTTGACTCCAAAGGGAGTAGTGCTGGGATTAATTATATGTGGTTTGTAGTATGAGGTATGTTAAGACCGTTACTACTGTGATTGGAGTTGATCCTTTCGCCAGTTGGTCCTTCGGTATCGTCGACGAGAGAAAAGAGATACCAATAATAATAATAGATATAATTAGTGAAATTATTCAGACTAAGAGACAGAGACGGAAATAGGAAACGTAACAACAGTCAGCTCATTAAGTTTGAAGAATAATATATATATCGTTAATAATAATAATAGTAATTATAATATTAATAAGTTGTCAGGAGAGTAAGACGGGAGAGAATGTAAAGAAGTAAAACGACGAGTTAATTATCTACCCCTGATTGGTATATGCGATTTTAAGGAGATAGGCCATTTGGATGCAGTCCTTGTATCGCTGTATGGTTGTCCAGCCTTCGCTTAAAGGCGTCCAAAGACGGTGCCATAGCTACATCTGCCGATAAGGAATTCCACGGACGGAAAACCCGCAGTGAAAAGAAGTGGGAGCGCACCCGGGTCCTTGCCCTCTGGTGAGCTATCCTTCTGGAATTTCCACGTGGGAGCCTGTACCTACTCAATAGCAGAACACCTTTGTCTGGGTGATTCTGGTCATTTGTTATTTTGTAGGATAGAATGCTTGAAGCCTACGTTAATCCGTTTCGTATAAATTTCTGTGCTTGCTCAGACCTCTCTTGAATCCATCAATTGAGGTTTCTGACACTACTTCATCTGGGAGTCGGTTCCAGGAGCTTATGAGTTGGTGTGATAACTAGTGCTGCAGAGCGATACGGCTTATACTTGGCTTCTGAAGTCTCCTGCTATCTCCTCCAAGGTGTTTTGACCTGGTGAAAAGGAAAAGAGAGAATATATCAGGTCCTTAGTCACTGTTTAAAGTCCTAAACGTCCTAATTAAATCTCCTCTTTGCCTATAGTATGATAGGGAGAAGAGATTTAAATCTCGAAAAACAAACTGTTTTTACTTATGAATAAATGGGTACTTTTCGAGATTTAAAGGCATGCAAGGACCGATTGACAGTAAAGGGACTTAGTGAGTTTCTACGATATTCTGTCAAGCTTGCGGAAGCGAATGCTAATTCTGATACTCTCAGAAGAGATTTAAACTATCTAGTCTTCCCTCATGTGATAGATTAGTCATGCCAAGAATCATACGTGTTGCCTTCCTCTGAACACTTTCTAGAATACGTGAGTCTCTTCTAAGACAATGAGTGGCTGCCTGGATACAGTTCTCCAGTCTTGACCCAACCAGAGATGTATATAAGGAGATGAAAATATCTCTGGTGATTCTCGTAAAGGCTCTGAGAATCTCTTACAAGGATCTGAAACCAAGTGCCACCACGGCGTGGCAGTGTGTCGTAGCTTTTAAGTAGTGACCTGCCGTGACGCCTATATCCAAGTGAGTTTGGCCTGATGAAAGTCTTATTCTCTCTAGTTCGCAGAGGCTGATATTTGAGCGTCTAATTCGCATGGTATCACATTCCGGGAGCATCCATTCTCTGCACCACTCTGACATCTATTCGAGGCCTTCTTGCAATGTGAGCGTATCATTGCCACTCTTCAGCTCCCTTTATATTTTTAATTCATCTCAGTATAGAAACGCCAGGGAATCTGTGAGCACAGATGCCTCATTCATGTACAAAATAAATAAGAGAAACCCGAGTACCGTGCCTTGTGGCACTCCACTACACATTGCTGATCAGAAGGAGAGTTTCGAATTGATCTTCGCCCTCCGCCTCCTACCTATGGTGGTAGGTAGGTAATTCTCCGATCCAGCTTAGTAAGCTGCCTTTGGTGCTAAGACTTTCCAGGTTCGTGATAAGTCTTTTGTGAAGAATTTTATTGAAGGCTCTGATGAAGTTTATGAAGACGAAGTTGAAGGGTCTTCTGCTCTCCCTTGACTTGACCCAGCCTTCTCTTGCAGTGAGAAGTTTTGAGAGACATAGGAGGTTTCCTCGGAAGCTATACTGTGCTTTAGATGACAAGTTGTTAGCCTCCTTGGTAGCTTTATTGATAATTCTTTCTAGAGTCTAGTGAGAACAATAGGTCTGGAGTCTGAAAAGCATTGTCTTGATCGTCCTTTATAAATGAAGGTTACTATGGTGTCTTCGAAGTCGCGCGGTAACAGTCCATTTAGGAGAAATAGCTTGAAGATCATGGTCAATGGACCGGCTGTGTGATCTGATAGCTCCTTATGAAGCCTCTCCTTGACGCAAATTTTGTTTATCTGTAACTACTGGGTACTGAAACAGCCAGTGAGAGCCGCAGCTGTTCAGACCCCTACTCGTGGTGACAACATGTTGGACCTTGTTTTTTGTCATGACACAATCCCAGTCTCCACCTATGTCGGTAATAGATTTTCCAGTAGTGACCATAGAATGGTACTCTGCTCTCTGCCTTTCTCACCACTAAATGCAGGAAACAAACAAGATTCAGGAAGCACAATATGTCGTAGTTACAAATATACAGACTGGGGATTAGTCCAAGAACTTATTCGACTCTGTCAATGGGATGACTATTTTACCACTGACTCCCTGGAGGCCGTAGTAACCCTGTTTTACAGGAATGTTACCCTTTGTCTGGATACAGTTGCTCCGAAGAAAATAGTGAAATTAAGTAGACACCGGACTGAATAAATTCCAAGGGCACACCGTAATAAGTTAAGGAAGCTGAAGAAACAGTACTATTCCACTAAGGACATATCACTATTGCTCTGAATCCACGAGTCTCTTGAATCTCTCAAGCGCCTACGCTCTCAAAAGGACCTCGACGAAGAGTTAACGGCACTTAAAAGTACCTCCAAAGTATATAACTTAACCGCACTTCTTAAAAAAGAAATGCAGTTGGCGAGGGAAATCCCTTGTTTACTTCATGACAAAGTAATCTACAATGAGTCTGCCACTATCTGTGAACTTTTAATAATAATAATAATAGAAACACATATGCCTGGTGAAACCGCCCCCGTTACCAGCTCTTCCCTTGAAAGCATTGTGTTCACCAATCAATGAATAGTACAAGCAATTAAAAGCCTTAAACCTTCCACTAGTACGGGACCGGATGGCCTCGCTTCGATAATTTTCAAAAACAGTGGGTGTGATATACCCCGTTACTTCTTAAATTCTTCTCAATATCTATGGACACTGGCACTTACCCTAGTGAGTGGAAAACTAGCTTCATAATTCCACATTACAAATCTGGTGATAAGGCAAACGTCCGCAATTACAGACCCATAAATATAACCCCAGTTATCTCACGAATCATGGAGAAAGTTGTAAAAGATCAATTGTCAGACTACCTAATTAGGGAAGATCTTGTTACAAGGTCTCAACACGGATTTCTCAAAAATAGATCCTGCGTTACTTGCCACTTCGACTTTTTCAACTGCATCACTAGTAGTCGCGAAGCACGTAAGCTAGTCGTTGTTCTCTACTTCGATATATCTAGGGCATTTGACATGGTATCTCACAGTATTCTCTTTGAGAAGCTGTACTCTTGTGGAATTCGCAACCCATTACTGAACTGGTTAAAATCATTTCTAAGCAACAGGGTACAAATAACCAAAATTGTCTCATCCTAGGCAGATCTCAAGTGGGGTCGTGCAAGGTAGTGTCCTAGGTCCACTTTTATTCACAGTCTACATTAACAGCATTTGCAAGTGCTTCACCTCAGGTAAACCATTCCTATATGCTGACGACCTCAAAGTCGTCTACTCCTGCTACACTCATGAATTAAGCGATATGGTTACTAAAATACATCTTGAACTAAGTAGTCTCGCAACATGGTGTGCTGAATCCTGTCTAAACTTTAACATTGACAAATGCGGCTGGATTTGTATCGGCAACAGTAACCTTGATCTAACTCTTGAAATAAATGGGCGAAAACTAGCTAAGCTCAACTCAGTCGTAGATCTCGGTATTAGATACTCTAGTAACCTAACGTTCGCTGAACAGACTGATTATGCCAGACGTAAAACACGAAGGCTGATAGGATGCATAACACGCAATTTCTTTTGTTGTGAAACTAGGGTTTTATTATACAAAGTATGTGTCCGACCTATCTTAGAATACTGCCCGTTTATTCTTAGCGGACTCAGACAAAATGACAAGCTTAAATTAGAGGGAGTGCAACGGCAGTTTACCTCAAGAACTCTTGGTTTAGAAAGTGGTCTGGAATACCATGAGCGATGCGAAAGACTAAGATTAGAACCCCTCTGGAAAAGACGCCTTAAGCTAAACCTTATCTTTTACTATAAGCTAACTAATCTTCTCTTGCATTCCTCCGAGCCAATAACTAAACCTACCGCTGTCATCAGTTACAATCTTAGAAATCATCACAACCTAGCTGCTATTGAGCACTGTCAGACTTACGTGCGGTACAACTTCTTCTTAAATAAGTTTTCAGTCATTTGGAATAGACTACCAGCTAATGTGCGCGATGCAAACACACTTCCAGTGTTCATCTCCTCAGTCACCAGACTGCTCAAAGATGACAATGCACTTCTACGCCTGACTCTTACACCTTCTTTTTCACCCTACATAGATATTTTAAGTTCTTTAAACGTGTAGTTACAACAAACTACAATTATAAATTTTAATATTATTGGAACTAGATGATAAACAT